ACCTCTTCTGTCACCCTTCTACACCCAACCCATGCTGGGCGATGCTGGGCTTCCAGATTACTCATTTCCAGGCCCTGCCCTTGAGGAGCTCCCAGAAGGGATTGGAAAGGGAAGTAGAGATGCATCATGCAATTATCAAGAAGATAGAAAGTTGACAGGTGCTAAGGGAGGCACAGGCACAGGCTGCTGGAAGTCAGGGCAGGCTTCCTGGAAGAGGTGGCACTGGAGAAGACAGTGGGGGTCCATCAGTCCTCTCTCCCCTGGGCTCTGGACTCTGGACTCTAGCCCAGATCCCTCAAAGTTCTTTCTGTGATACACAGATGGCCAATAGCTTCTCTGCTCAAACAACTTCATGGCTCCCTTTCACCCCAGGATTGAAAAAAAAAAAAATACCATTGATTCCAACTCAGGGTAACCCCATGCATTACAGAGTAGAACTGCTCCATGGGGTTCATTTTCTTTCTCTCTCTCTCTCTCTCTCTCTGTCTCTCTCTCACACACACACACACATACAGATACTCTTTCTCTTTCTTTCTTTCTTTCTATTGTGATTTGGGTGACAGTTTATATAGAAAATTCACTTTCCATACAGCAGTTCACATATACTTTGTCTCATGACATAGACTACAATTTCCCACAATGCAACAGCTTCCCTTCCACTTCCTCCCCATAGTTACCTCTTCCCAGTGTCCATCCCTCCATGCCCTCCTGCCCCCTGAGCTGTCTCCCTGTGCATAAGCAGCCCTTCTATTCTCCCAGGATTGTTCTCTCCAAGAACTAATTGTTTCCATGAATCTTTGGTTTTCTTCATTCTTCTTTGCTCCTGACGAGGAGAGACCCATCGCTGCATCTAGATGGCCACTTGCAAGCTTGTAAGATCCCAGTCGCTACTCACCAAAGTAGGAGGTGGAACGATGTTTTGTATAGTGTGTTATACCAATTGAGCTGGATGTCCTCCATGGGGTTTTCTTGGCTGTAATCTTCATGAAGGCAGATCACAAGACCTTTCTTCTGTGGCACTGTTGAGTGGGTTTGACCCACCAACGTTTAGGCTAATTGTCAAGCACAAACCATTTGTCCCTTCCAGGGATCTTCCAGCCACCCCAGGTCACCTGAATTCTCCTGGAGTTTTCACATACCTATGACTCTATGCTGGCAAAACTCTCCACCTGGGACACCTCACCTGGCAAACTCCTCCGCATCCTTTGAGGCCTGCTTTCACTGACGCTTCCCCAGGTGAGCCCAGGCTCCACCATCCCCAGGTTCCTCCTCCACTTCAGCCTCAACCCCTCGAGGCAGGCATCTCTGTCCAGGCTGCCTGTCCCAAGAGTGTCCTCTTCAGTATAAAGAGAACCGTAGCACTTTGCTTGGAGGAGACTGTGTACGGTCTCCTAACCATAGACTGTGGGTAGGTCCCCACACCATCCAGCCTAGAGCAGCTATTGCACAGGAATCTGCACATCACTGCAGTTGACAGCCTGGACCCTGGGCCAGCAGATCTGAGTTTAAAATTAAGCATGTTACCCTTCTGCCATTTCATTTCCCCACCTGCCAAAGGGGAAGACACAACAGCCTTGCCTCACTCTTCACCCCTATGATGACTCAGTGAGCTAATGTGTGCCTGGCACATGGTAACAAAAAAAAAAATAAATCTTTCTCCTGCAGAGCAGCTGGTGGGTTTGAACTGTCAATGTTCTGGTTGGCAGTCAGGTGCTTTAACCACTGCATCCCCAGAGCTCTGCAAAGATTACCGCCTCGGAAACCCTATAGGGCAGTTCTGTTCTGACTTATGTTGTTAGGTGCCATAGAGTCAGCTCCAACTCATAGCAACCTTGTGTACAGCAGAACTTAATGCTGCCCGGTCCTGCACCATCCTCACAATCCTTGCTGTACTTGAGCCCATCATTGCAGCCACTGTGTTAACCCACCTCATTGAGGGTCTTCCCCTTCTTTGCTGACCCTCCACTTTACCAAGCATGACATCCTTCTCCAGGGAATGGTCCCTTCTGATAACATGACCAATGTAGGTGAGACCAAGTCTGACCATTCTCACTTCCCAGGAGCATTGCAGCTGCACTTCCTCCAGGACAGATCCATTGGTTCTTTTGGCAGTCCATGGTACTTTCAGCATTCTTCACCAGCACCACAACTCAAAAGCAACAGCTCTTCTTCGGTCTTCCTTATTCATTATCCAGTTTTCACATGTATATGAGGCCACTGAAAACACCATGGCTTGTGTCAGGTGCACCTTAGTCCCCAAAGTGACATCCTTGTTGTTAGGTGCTGTCGAATCCTTTCTGACTCCTGATGACGACCCATGTGTACAGAGTAGAGCTGTGCTCCACAGGGTTTTCAAAGCACTGACCTTTAGAAAGCAGATCACCAGGTCTGACTTCCAAGGTGCCTCTAGGTGGGTTCGAACAGCCAACCTTTCAGCTAGTAATCAAGCGCTTCACCATATACGCACCACCCAGGGACTCCAAAAAGAGCACACGAGGCCCGGAAGAAGGCAGACACAGGGGAAGAAAACACTGTCTGAAGATGAGGAAGGCAGACCGTCTACAAGGCCTGGAACTGCAAGGACAGCTGGCTAGAGAGACTGAGACAAGGGCATTCCTCCAGAACCAACAGGGACAGTGAGCCTTCTCCTAGAGCCAGCACCTCACATTCGGACTTCTAGCCTCCTAAACTGTGAGCAAGCACATTTCTGCTCCTCAACGCCACCCACTTGTGGTATTTCTCTTACAACAGCTCTAGTGAACTAAGGCAAGTGACTTCAGAGAAAGAGAGTCAGGAGCACCCTGGGGCCAGCACGTCTCACTCCAGGTTTGTCCTGACTCTCAGCTCCACCCTCCCCTCCTAGATTTCTCCACCCTGCTCCTCTGAGAGGGAGAGGCAGTGGATGTCTTGCATGTCCTGGGTAAGAGAGGAGGAAGCTGAATTTTTCCAGGCATCTAAGAGCCAGGCCCACAGTGGGGCTCTACTTCCTGTCTCCGTAGAATGCCATACTGTGCAAAATGGTGCTTTGGAAACTGATGCTCAAAGGAAGAAGAAGAGGAAGGAAATTTAATGGTGTGTGTGTGTGTGTGTGTGTGTGTGTGTGTGTGGAGAACGAGCTCCACAGGGTTATCAGTGGCTGAAGTTTCAGAAATAGATCACCAGACCTTTTTTCCAAGGTGCCTCTGGGCAGACATGAACCTCCAACTTTTCAGTTAGTCACCAAGTGCATTATCTATTTGTACCACCCAGGAGTTCCATTGAAAAGACAGAGGAGGAGAAGTACTTATTTAGCAACTATCCACATTATATTACTGAGTCTTCACCACTGCTCCATCTTACATGTCAGCAACAGAGGCCCTAAGAGGTTAGATGAATTGCTGGGGTCACACAGCAAATGCATACTGAAGCCAGGATTTGAACTGACTCACTTAAGGCCTAGCCCAGGGCTCTTCCCACAACCTGGTGGCCATCCATGGGGAGAATCACTTCTCCTAGGATCATCCCATCACAAACACAATATATAATAGGGGCAGGGAGAGGCCTGGTGAGGGTGTGCCCGGTAAGAGAAGGACAACTCCCCTTCCTCCCTCCTGAGTGCCAGCCTCGAAGGTTGTCTCCAGACCTGTGTTTGCAGAGACCCAAGCAAGGGCCAGAGATCCCAAACTTCCAGGAGCTCTTTCTTTCCTGCCCCTCTTCTCCTTAACATCCTCCAGTGCCCCTGAGGGTGTCCAGTCATCTGCTGGGCCACGCTTAGGACCCAGAGCCCCACCACTAAGAGGATCCCAATTACGGAGAAGGCAGAGTCAGACATAGACACACGCAGCCCTGAAGGGTTAGAGCTAAGAATGGGAAAGCCCAGAAGTGGGAAGCACTGTGGGGAGCAGTGAAAGCTGAGGTCCCTGGAGCTGGGTGTTGAAGGCTAAGCTTTCCAAGCACACAATGGGAGCCATGTGTCTTGAGATGCAGAAGGGACAAACTGTTCTTCCACATCTCCCTCCCCACTGGCCAGGGTCAGCCCAGGTGACACAAGAGGGCTATGGGCTGGGCTTCCAAGGCCCTGGCCACAGTAGCAGTGTCAGAAGCCAAATGATAGAAGTGTCATGGTTTGGGATGAAACAACACCCATTTAAGATCTTAAGCAAACAACTGCCTATTCAGACATGGTTGGCTCTGACTCCCAGCCAAGTGAGCATCTTCTCGCAGATCCTGAAATTCATTAATACTGCCACACCCTTGTTCATGCTGCTCCCAATATCTGGATTGTCATCCCTGCTTTGGTGAACTCCTACTCATACTTAAAGCCCTACTCAAAGGCCCTCCTTCTTCTCAATAGCTCACACTACCTGGAAGCCCAGTGGGCTCTGGGAGTTGAGGGTTCACACATTGCTTGATGTGGTAGTTCAGGCTGTGTGTTAACTTGCCTGGGCCTGGTTGAGTAGCTAGCTGGGTAGCTGGTGGTAGTTATTCCCCACGATGAGACTGGCAATCAGCTCTATGGTGGGATCTACCACAAGCAGCTGAGTGGCTGCTTTAGGGATGCAGTCTGCTTCCCATAAATAAGAAGCAGCTTTGGGAATGGTCTCTAGCTTATGGCATGCTTGAACCCTGCATGTAGCCGAGTCGTTTTTCTTCAGCCTGCCATATTCTGCTGATTGTAGGACTTTCAGTGGACTTGAACCGATGGCCTGCCGTGTGGTTTGGTAACATTGGGACTGTGCCTTTGTACTTGTCAAGCTTGGGTTTGTCAGCCTCAGCAGCCAGCAGCTGTCTGAGAGAAGAAAGCCTCCAGCTTCAGTGGGCCGGGAGCAGGAGGCAGAGCTGAAGCCTAAGGTCGAGGGGCTTTCACCCAGCCCCTAGAGCCTGGTACTTTGAACTCAGACTTCTAGCCTCCAAAACTGTAAGAGAATGAACTCCTGTTTGTTCAAGCCATCCCATTTGTGGTATATTTTCTGTTAGCGCAGCACAGAGGTAACCAATACACTTGGGGACTCAGTCGACCTACCTGAGGCACCCAGCAGAGGCTTGATATAGTCAGGGTGCACCAGCACCACCAGCGGCAGGAAGGGTCCGACCCACACGAGGATCGTGTGGTGCATGCGGTCCAGCACCTTTGTCTCGTTTCGGAGGCCTGCCTCGTTTGGAAGGTACTGAAGAGGGAGCAAACGGCAGTGAGGCTGGGTCCTTCCATGGAGCCACCACTTACCAGGTCTTACCCATCTGTGCCTGGATCTCCCTTCTGTATTCCATCTCCTGTCCCAGTTCAGGCCGCATTGACACCCTGCTGGATCATGGCTCAGTCTCCTCTCTGGCCACCTGCCTCCAGTCTCAGCCCCTCATCCTGGCCCCAGAGGGATTCTTGAATCAGACCACATCCCTCCCCTGCCCACACACCCTCCACGGCTCCCCACAGCCATTCAGAGGAAGTCTTTGCTCCTTGGCCTGGTCTTTGGGGCCCTTTAGACTCCAACCCCCACTCCCTCACCTATTCCACCATCCCTCTCTATCAAAAACCAACTACTGCCATAGAGTCAATTCCAACTCATAGCAACCCTATAGGACAGAGTAGAACTGCCCCATAAGGTTTCCAAGCCTATAAATCTTTATAGAAATAGACTGCCTCATCTTTCTCCCACAGAGCAGCTAATGGGTTCAGACCACTGACCTTTTGGTTAGCAGCCCAATGCTTTAACTGTTGTGCCACCATAGCTCCTCCCATTGCCCTCTAATCCTTCAGAAAGACTTCCTGCTCCCTTAACAAGGCTCTGACTTTCCACCTCCATGGCCTTTGCTGAAACCGTGCCCTCTTCCCAGGGTATCCTCTGCTAGATGAACTTCTACTCATTTTCCAATGTCCTTACTCCAGGATGCCCTCTATAGCCATGGTGGTGCCAGAGGCAGTGGGCAGGCCCTGGAAGGATTTGAAACTCAGCTTTTACCCATGGGCCCAGCCCACCTCATGAGACCATGAGACCTTGGTGAGGCCAATTTAAGAATGGCTAATGAGAAGAGACTGGGCAATCTATTTCCATAGAGATACCGCCTCAGAAACCCAAAGAGGGGTCGCCATGAGTTGGAACCAACTCAATGGCAGTGAGTTTGGTTTTTTTGTTTTGTTTTGTTTTTAATGAGGAGCTCTGGTGGTGCAATGGTTAAGGCACTTAGCTGCTAACCAAAAGTTTGGTAATTTGAACTCACCAGCTGCTGCACAGAAGAAAGATGAGGCAGTCTGCCTCCATAAAGATTTATAGACTTAGAAATCAAATGGGAGTTGCTATGGGTCGGAATTGACTCATTGGCAGTGAGTTTGAATCGGAATGGTTTGTCTAAGGGAGCACTGGTGCCACAGTGGTTAAGTGCATGGCTATTAAGCAAGAGGTTGGTAATCTGAACCCATCAGCTACTACTCTGTAGGAGAAAATGTGGCAGTATGCTTCCAGAAGAGATTTGCAGCCTTGGAAACGCTGTGGGGCAGTTCTACTCTGTCCTATAGGGTTGCTATGAGTCAGAATCAATTCCATGGCAAAGAGTTGTGTGTTTTGTTTTGTTTTGTTTTTTCCCAGAATGAAAAGGCCACCTTCTCCCTTGGGTGTGGACAGGTCAGAGCTGAGGCTGACAGAGGATACACAGGAGCCAGCTCATTCATTCATTCAACAAATGCTGGGCCCCACCACAGGCCAGGCACTGGGCTAAGCCTCTTCCTTTCTGACCTCTCCCCGAATTCTCACAGCTTGTGAAATAGGAATAAATACTTCCCATGCTATGGGTTCAATCTTTAGAGCTCAGAGGGATTAAGTGACTTGCCCAAGATCACACGGCTGCTGCAGGTAGATCTGAACCCATATCCATCTAATGTTGAGCCCAAAGCTCTTCTGCCTCACAGAGTATGGGGTTAAGAGCTGGGGGTTGGGAGGTGAATGAGTTAATATTTGCAAAGTGCCTAGAATAACACTGGTTAGCCGCTGTTGAGTCAGCTCCCAACTTGTGGCAATCCCATGCACAACAGAGTGAGCCAACCCCATGGTTGGTTTTGCACTGAACCCATAGGGTTTTCACAGGCTCGTTTTTGGAAGTCAGTTGCCAGGTCTTTCTTCCTAGTCTGCCTTAGTCTGGAAGCTCCACTGAAACCTGTTCAACATCATTGCACAAGCCCCCACTGCCAGATGGGCAGCTGTGCATGAGGGGCATGGCCAGGAATGGAGCCCAGATCGCCCACATGGAAAGTGTGAATTCTACCCCGGAACCACTACTGCCCCCACTTGGCACATAAAGGGTGTTACATATGTGAGATGAACATTGAAATGCAAGAAAAGGGGTGAGGGTCTGACCTGGGACCATGGCATTAAGGGGAAAGAGAGTAGAATAAGGGTGGGGGGAGAGAATAGAGCAACAAAATCTACAAGGGGGACCCCAAGGATCCCAGATCCCCAACCACCAAGTGCTGGTGCTACAATGATCATCTGGAATTACAGACAGAACTCTTCAGAGTCAGTGCTGGCTCATTCCAGCTGTGTGACCTTGGGTAAATCGCTTGCCCTCTCTGAGCCCCAGGCTCATACCCTGCAAAGTGGGTCTGCTCGTAGCCCCAACCAGAGTTCTCAACTGTGGCTAAGGAAGCCAGCAGGCCATCATCCTCCTCACTGGATAGCTAGGAGCTGTTCAGCCCACCTGCCCACACTCACCATGCCCAGGTGGCCCAGCAGCCAGTTGCACGGTGCCGGCTGGGGGAAGCAGCGCAGGCGGCGGCAGGTGATGTAGAAGTGCCGGCAGAGGCGCAGGAACTGCAGCAGCAGGCGGCAGAGGAAGAAGAGCAGGGAGAGGAGGATCACAGACAAAGCATACAGGCGGAATGTTGTCTTCTTGAGCCCCAGGAGGTGCAGCAGGTGGTCCGTGATGGGCAGCATCCTGGGGGTCACAGAGGGGAGTCAGTGGTGGTGGGAGTATCATGTGCCATGGACACAGAAAGTTTTCCTACAAATGAGTCCCAGACACCAAGCACGCTTTTCCCTCCGGATGCTATAGGTAACCGGCCCATATCCCCTTCAGCCTAGACCTTTGCAAGGCATACCTCCTGGCTTCTCTACCTCAGGGATTGCTTTACCTGTGCACAGCTGGCCACAAGTGCTAGGAAATTAAGAACCTCCCACAGAAGCAGCTGTCAACCAATGACTGATGAAGTTGGTGGATAAATACCCTGCTCCTTCTCCCCTCAGTGGACCTGAGGGATATGTTCTATCCTGGCTCCCAGGGTTCCCCAGTGGGGATTAAGCTCCACTGCCCACAGTAGAAACCTTCCCAATTGGCTACCTCCCATCTCCTGTCTCTCTTCTCCTGTCCTTTACTTGTATTAAGGAGTTCTAGTGCTGCAGTGGGAGCTCTGGTAGCATAGTGCCTAAGGCACTTGACTGCTAACCAGAAGGCTGGCAGTTCAAACCCACCAGCCACTCCTCGGAAGGAAGGTTGGGCAATCTACTTCCGTAGTGATATGGCCTCGGAAACCCAAGGAGGGGTTGCTATGGGTCGGGTCTGACTCACCGGCACGTAACAACAGTGCTGCAGTAGGAGCTCTGGTGACATAGTGCCTAAGGCACTTGACTGCTAACCAGAAGGTTGGTGGTTCAAACCCACCAGCCACTCCTCGGAAGGAAGACTGCGCAATCTACTTCCGTAGAGATACCACCTCAGAAACCCAAGGAGGGGTCACTATGAGTTAGAGACGACTCAACAGCACATAACAACATCAGTGCTGCAGTGGGTGATGCAGTTTGGCTGGGAACCAGAAGATCCGTGGTTCAAACCCACCAGCTGCTCCATTGGAGGATGATGAGGCAATCTACTTCTGTAAAAATTTACAGCCTTGGAAACCCTATGGGGGTTGCTATGGGTCAGAATCAACTTGATGGCAGTGGGTTTGGTTTTGATTTTTGGTTTGCTTGTGTTATCTGTAACAACTTCCCAAATAAACCATTGTTGTTGTTAGCTGCCATCAAGTTGATTCAAACTCATGACAACCCCACATGTGTCAGAGCAGAACTGTGCTCCAAAGGGTTTTCAATGGCTGACTTTTCAAAAGTAGATCGCTAGGCCTTTCTTCAGAGGCACCTCTGGTTGGACTCAAACCACCAAACCTTCAGTCAGCAATCAAGCATGTTAACGATCTGCATCACTTGGGGCTTCTAAAACTAATTGCCATCAAGTCAACTCTGACTCATGGTGATACACAGAGTAGAATTCTGCACCATAGGATTCTCAAGGCTGGGACCTTTTGGAAAGAGATTGCCAGGTCTTTCTTCTGAGGCACCTTTGGGTGGACTCAAACAGCAACCTTTTGGCTATTAGTCAAGAGCTTAACTGTTTGCACCACCCAGTGACTCCTCCAGATAAATTACTTGTACTCGAGTCCTTGCAGCGCTAGGGTCCTGGAGGAGCCAAAATTGAGTGGTGGGTAGCAATTATAATAAAACAGTGAATGTCTACAGCACACAGATGGTATGCTGTGTACCTTGCTTAGGATGGGCATGGAATCTTAAGCCAGTCCTGGAAAAACAGGTACCATTTTCCAGATGAGGAAGTTGAGTCTCAGCTCAGTTCCTTCGATTCAAGGGAGACAGAGCTGGGAGAGACACAGCTTGGTCTAGAACCTTAGCTCAATCACCTTCACTTCGGGGGCCCACAGGTCTCACCCAGTCCCAAGGAGATTCCTGAAAATGGTTGCCATCTGCCCTCATGTCTCCTTTTCATGTAGTCCTTCTAGCCAAGAGCCCCAGTTCCCTCTGCATTTCCACTTCCTTTAACAACACAGCAAAAAGGACACCTGGACTCCAAGACTTCACCTGAGCCCTCAATCCCCACCCACTCTTGCCACGGTGCCCCTCTAACTAGGCTCCTTAAGCTACGACACTGTGGCTCTTCCACCAGCCAACACCAAACCACATCACCCACACAGAATAAATGTCATTTCTACTGGTTACTGCATCCTAGGAAAACAGCTGC